TCTGTGACAAGCCGTGGGTGGTAAGTGAGGTCTCCTCCTCCCAGGTAAAAGGGGAGGATCCAGGTCATGTATCTCTCAGTCCACCAGGAGGGACCACCGGTAAACAGGATGCAGTGGGCACTAGCTGAGAGGTTGTAGGAAAGAGCATCAGCTGGGACATGGGAAGGACAGGCTCTTACAAGAGAATCTTTTCATCAAGAGAAGGTATCATCACAGGCTGGGGCACCTTTGCTGCACAGTGGTCCTTTCGCTTCACAGCAAAGTCACACCAAGATTCTGTGTAGAAGCCCTTACAAGTCTGTAGGCTCTGCCCTCAGCCATAGGATGCAACAATAAAAATACCTGTTTCCTGCCTTCAAATGGGCTATCTATTAGAAAGCCCCGAGACCAGTGGGGGCCAAGGAGATGTTCCGTCTCAGAGGGATGTTAGTGACAGTCTTACTGAATGTTTTAACAACCTCAGATTCAGATTTATCCACAAAATATGAATCAGACACTCATACGAGCTAAAAGTGCCCTTAGAGATCGAATCTCCACCCTTCATGGTAGATATATGAAAATTTAAAAGGAAAGTAAGGAGTATAAAACCATTTACTCCATCACACCAACATCTGACATTTTTCTATTTAAATTTTATTTAATCTTCACACTAACCTTACCAGGATGGTATTATTATCATTATTACCACTTTCTACAGAGACATGAGACCCAGAAAAGGTTAAATTACCAAAGTTATGCAGCCAGGATTTCTCTAGATTGCACTGTCACTCACATAAATTAAGTTACTGTGTGAGGAAGAAGCCGGTGTTCTCTTCCTTGGCTTGTCTAGAGATCTAGGAGGCAGTGGGAACTTCCGAGCAGAGAAAAAGAGTGGGGCTAACAGGGAGAGTGACCTTTGATGGCTATTGGGGTGCTCTGGCCTCCCCTCTGACAGCTGAAGCAACCCAGGTCCAATAGCCCTGCTGCTACAGGCTGGCCCTCTCAGAAGGAAACACCTGCCCCTAATCACATCCTCCTCCTCTTGTTTTCCAAAAATCAAATTTCAGCGATCACACGCTGGCTTGCCAAGAGTCATGGCACCAGTGGCTGATTTTGAAATTTCTAGACCTCAAGCTTCTCCACCACTCAGGGAGCTGAAGATGGTGTTTTGTTGGTTTTTTTTTTTGTTATTGTTGTTGTTATTTTGTTTGGTTTTGCTTTTTAATGAAATAGACCCATTGCCTCTGCTCTTGATCTTTTTTTCACACCTGAACTCAAAGTTTACCCATTCCCTTGAAAGCCAGGAAGAATCAACAGTATGAGAGAAAGAGTCAAAAGACCTGGGAATTGCTGTGGTTGAGAACGAAGGTTGGTTTTCCCTTGTTCAGCCTTTTCCCTCTGTGTGGCCTAAGGCATCTGGAATCCTAGTTTTACAGAAACAAGCTAAAAGGGTTGTGATTTGAGTGTGTTGTTACTTGCAGAAGAACACATATGAGGCCTTTACCAAGCCTCCTTGTAGGGACCTCCCCTTTCTCCTTAGTCATGTGACCATCCCTACTACACATAATGCCCTTGTCCTTCCCCCAGTCCCTTCAATACCTGTTAGAATTTGGCTCCCTCATAGCCACACAGGGCAATTCTGCTATTGTCAGCTTTTTCTGGGTGATTTCACTTACCAGCCTTCTGACTAAACCCCTCTCTGCCATGGTTTCTTTGTCTATAAACTAGGAATATTAGTACCTGCCGCCAGTTTGCCATTCTGGTTGTTAGAGTCCCCTAGAATTTGAGACCTCTTAAAGAAACCGGTCCCCTGCTTTATGTTTTAAAAAACTGTGCAAGAGGCAGGGAGGAGAGGATCAGAGAGCCTGTACCCAGAACTTTGCCCCTCCTGGGATCTGGGATCTGGTGAGGGTTCACATTCTCACCCATTCATAATCCCAGCACATTGCCTTTGGCATTGCATCAGAACAGCACGGCTCCCTGGCTAGACACCAAGTTCTCCCTTCATTTTTACTAAGCAGCTGCCAAACTAATGGCATTTTACATACTTGTATTGTTCTCTGCCTGTTAATGGGAGTGGACAAATTAGGTGACTATGAGGGGAGGGGTCCCTCTGAGATGATGACTTTGGTTCATATTTTCTAAATTTCTTAGCTTGGTATGAGGAAAGGCCTCAGTTGGTTGGAAAATGCTCTACTTCATGTCACTGTGTCTCTGAGCACAGCTGCATCTCATAAATTGGCCAGAGGGCACACTGGAAGTCTGGAAGGAGAAGTGGACCTATCATTGAAAGGAGCATTCCAGAGAAAGCAAAAACAACTCCACACTGTACTGCTGCAAATGTATCTGAAATCCCTGTCACTCTTTCTAGGTTTTTTTAGAGACAGATACACTAGGGTTGAATTAAATGTTTTATTTCCAGGAGGGATAAGGATAAATTATTAAATTCAGACTGATCTTGAAAGCCCATTTCTTCCAAGAAGTCTTTCCTGATTCATTGGATGAGTGGTTATAAAGAACATTATCTTGCTGTTTGTTGCCAACACCACCACCCTCAGCTCCCAAATCCGTTCTTTTGTCTATACATAGAGGAAATAACCCTTATCAGATATTACATTTGTTTAATTGGTGACTGTGTGCTTGTGATTTAATCTAAGTTTCCAAGGAGGCAGGAGTTAGGTGCCAAACCCAGTACCTTGAACAGACAGGGACTGTTAGAGATAAGGTGAGGAGGATAGGGTGAGCTCCCAGGGACCCAACTAGTGCTTGGGAACTGGCTACCGTTTTAGTCTTGTGCTGTTCCAGGACTGGGAGTTTGCCGTGGGCTGTCCTGGCATCAGTGTGGTGCCTGTGTAAGTCTCCCACATGTTGGGAAGATAGAGACTCACATGCCTTGATGCCATGCCAGGGCGTGGGCTACAGCAGGACAGAGGTTGTAAAGCAGAGCTGGCTAGGGATGCTGAAGAGCCTTGGAAACTCAGGCAGAGCAGGAGTCCAGCCAGGCTGAGGTGGGCAGGCAGGACTTAAAGATCAGATGAGGTGGTAGATAGAGAGAATCAGAGGAGGCAGGAAAGGTATGAGGGGTTGGTCTTGATAATGAAAACAAGTTGAAGAATCATAGAATGGTGAGGACAGCAGGGTTCAACAAAGAATGCACCAGGCAAGAAGAGACCTGACAGCCTCAATTCCAGGCATGGTCTGGGAGCCTAGGCTTCCCTTCAGTTCTCTAGCCTTAGTCTCCTCATTTGTAGAATGAGATATTTGGTCCAGAGCTCTCTAAAGTCTCTTTCAATAATAAAATCTTAGGGGCTTGAGAGTCTACAAATCTTACTTTCAGAAATCTAGAGTCACCAACTCTGTGTTACTAAGGGACGTGATCCAGAAATTTCAACATTTTCCAGCATTTCAAAAACAGTAAAAAAATTATCTTTGCTCATAAAAGGACCACAACAGATGATCATTTAAACTACAGTTTGATGATGGAGTTCAGGAGGATATGTAACAAAAGATATTGTTTGTGGTAAAAAGTTTGAGGAACTGATCAATTCTCTCACTTTATGTATGAAGAAAATGAGGCCTGGAGAGGAGAAATCATTTGCCAAAGTATACCTACTAAGTTAGAGGCAGAACAAGAATCAAAAGACTTCAGTTCCAATAACCCAGTTCTGAGCTTTTACTACTCCAGCCCCCTCTTCCTCACTGGCTCATGTGCCAACATCCCTTATAAAGAATAGGATCTGAGCTTTTGAAAATGTTTTAGCTCTCCTTTCTCTGAAAAATGGAAGGCAGCTTTTCCATCTAGCAGTTCCAAAAATCTGTTGCTTAGACTGTGAAATAACCCAGAAGCACTGGAGGAAGGATGCTGAATTACCCCTGCTGCCAATGCACTAGGGATGTGTGTGGGGGGTGGGGCCAGGGGGCCAGAGGGTGTGAATGAATCGAGTAGGAAAGTACTGTGTGTTTCCTGTGGCAAGAGCATGGTTTTTACAGAGCCTGAAAGGCAGCTACTTGGAGGAATAAAAAGAATTATGAATTGGGAATAAAGGGGTCTGGCTCTGAATCTGGCTCAACTACTCTGTGACCTTGGGTAAGTGACTTGTCTGGGCCTCAGTTGTTTCACTTATTAAGTTGGGGGGTGGGGTGGGCAGAAGGTGCTAGATGTCTGCCAAAGGCCTTCCAATCCTGACACTGTAAGTATATGTACTTCACCTTTTCCTCATGGAGCTGTTCTGGTTTCTCATAGGTAAAGGATCCAGCTGAGTTCAGTTCTTAGATGAGTAGTAAGTCCCAGAAATACTAGGTCTGTTTGTCTGTTCTATATACATGACTATCAAAATCTTCCTAAAGAACAGCTTCATTCATGACACCCCCTGGTCAAACTCTGATGACTTCATACTGCCTACAGGGAAAAGCTACCATTTCTTTCCCTGGCATTTGAATTTCCAAGATTTGGACCATGTTACCTATCTAGCTTCAATTCATCACGTGCCATTTCTAGAGATGCAGGTGTTTGGAATTAAAGACCCTAATTTTAAATCTCAGCTTCACAGCTTTCTGACTTCAGGCAACTTTTGCACCCTCTTTGAGTCTCATATGTAAAATGAAGGTGATAAAGTATGTATTTTCTCAATTTAATATGAGGATTCAATGAAATATCATTAAAATAGAGTAGACACTGAATGTATGTTAGCTCACTCTCTCCTTTCCCTAATTACAGAACACATTCCTTGAGAATAGGAATTGTACACCTCTTTTATATACTCAGCACATTGCACAAAACCCTCAACAGAGAAAATTTTCAATAAATATTTTTGATAGACTGTTGTGTTGTTTGTTTTCTAAGTAGTCTAGATAAGCTGAAATGTTTGCTTCTGTTTTACAGTTTGCCCAGCTGGTGGCCATCTATAAGACATTGGGAGGAGAAAAGTTTCCACTCATTGAGCAGACATACTACCCCAACCATAAAGAAATGGTAGGTGATCGAGTGGGGACTTCAGTCCCTTTACTATTTCCACCCTGAGCTTAATCACATGGTAACAGTGGGGCCCTGAAGAGGGCTTCAGTATCTCCACCCCAGAGACTCTCCTGGGGTCAAACTGCAGACCTGCTATGTGTGGCCAGAGTGGCTGGATTCTAGCTGATCGCCCCTTGTTTCTAACATCTGGAGATAGACTAGGGAAGGGCAGAAATAAGGCATTTTATCAAACTGAAAAAGTAGCAAATCTATGGAGCATTAATCAAAAGATCTACTGCTTTGGGTTCTAGCCCTGACTCTGCCACATCATTGGACTAGTTACATTTACTCACTTTGTCACTTTCCCAACTGTGAAAAGTCAAATGGGCATAATTATTTCTAGCCAGGTTGTCTAATTTGGTAAACAATTTAACTGAGGTTTTTTTTTTTTTAAGTAATAGCCTTTTGGAAAAGTGTGAAGCACCCCTCAGGTGTCAGATGTTATTCCTGTTACTACTACCAGGGCCTTCCATCCCCTTTGCTTTCATCAAGATTGTGAGAAGGCTGGGTTAACATTATGCCTTCTCTGAGGCCACCCAAGGATATCAGAAGGAGCAGAGAGTTGGCATGGTTGGTACGGAGGCTATTGCTATGGGTTTTCCTCCATGGAGACCTCGACCTCACTCTCCCTTCTTCCTTTCTGTCCCCACTTCCTCTGTCCCAGGCCTGCCTGGTGATTTGGTGATGGTACTTAACTCACCAATGGAGATTCTCTGCTATAGCATTCTAAGTGTACCCTGGGACAGAGATTATGTCTGTTTCCCTCTCACTCCCTTCTCCAAAAAGGATCTCCATTTGTACCATTTCTGTGAATCAAGAGCCTTCTTCTGGCATATTGTGCATGGCCCTGCTTATCAACACATAGATTAATAACAAAAACCTTGGGCCTTGAAAAGAACTACCTCCTTCATCTTTTCAGAGCTTCCCCAGTGAGAGGCTCTGGAACTTTAGCCCTTGTCCTTAACAAACCCCTGAGATCAACAGTGGGACTTGTCCTTTTAGGACAAGCAAGGAAGCCTTGCAGAGGCTGAGGAAACCTAAGTGGTCTGTGCTTGGAGTTCTCAGGGAATCCAAGACACAGTGGTAAGGGGACTGAGTGAAAGGGAGGGTGGGAAGTGAAACTGGATTTTTCCTGCTGTAATATCTAGCAAGGCTGACCACTAAAATAATTAAGAAAGAAAGAAAACAAAAACATTGCAAAAATATATTCTCCATCTACCATTGTTTTCCCTCAAGGTCTCTTGTGTTATTCTTGTCCTATCCTCTCCTGAAATTTGCTCTCAAAAAAAGACCTCTTAAGATCTCTCTGAGGTGTGAAAAACTAAAGGGGAATTTTAACTCTACAAGAGAAGGGATTTTTTTTTTTGGCTTAAAAAGAAAGTTTTTAAGTGGGAATTAAGACATCAGTAATCTAATGGAGGACTTTCTAAAAGAAACAGAAAAGAAGCCTTATGAACATCAGTTGAAGGCATTAAGGATAGTTAACCTGCAGAGACAAAACCTAAGTCTATTCTTATCCGAAGAGGTGTGCTAACTGGGCCACACCATCTGCCAGGAATGGTGTAAAGGAGATTACAGCATGAGGAGGGAGGTTAGGCCATTGTAGGTCTCATATTGAATGACTCTATGCCCCTTCAAGTCACTTCCTAAACAGATGGAAGTGTATGAGACGATCAGGATGAGTTGAGATTGTAGTAGAGGATATATAGCCATAGTATATTGTTCTTTTCATTCTTCTAAAGCAGTCTGTTTATGATGCTGTCAACCTGTCTTCTGGTATTGTACATCAGAAGGCTACACCATCTCATATACATAACATTACCATTTCTTCCCGATAAGATCAATTAAGGTAAGAGAAAACACATTTTCCTAGAGAGAAAAGGGAATAGTTCTGGCCCAAACTATTTTGATTCTAAGCCAGAATTAAAACTTTCAGTAATAGGTACGGGCTAGACTGAAAGGGCTTGGGAGGCAGGGGAGAAGGGTTGAGGGTAAGATAGAAAAGTCATGCTACTTTTCCTAGACTTTGACAAGTTCTGAGCTGGGATCCAGATGTAAGCTGAACATGCCTCAGCCCTGTTCTAATACTAGCCAGACTGTCCACTTGGTACTTCCCATTGGCTGGCAGCAGTGAGGCAGGTGGTGATAGCCCGAGCTCTGCAGGGAAGGAGAACTGGCTTGATCTTCAGGACTCCTGAAAGATTGTGGTGGTCACTGTTCCCTGCTAGGGCTGGATGATGTCAATAAACTCCTTCCTGAGGGGCAGGTGCCCCTCGTACCAACTACAGGTGCCATCAACATGCTTCATGCAGACATAATGCTGGGCCTGGTACCCATAGAGTTTTCGTTCCAACAGCCAGTCTGTCCAGAGGCACTCGTTGGGGGCTGCAATGGTGCAGGGCACTGTGTAGCAGGTGGTGATCTAGAGTCATAGCCATAAAACATCAAAGTGAGTAGAGTGTCTTTTTTCTTATTTCCTTTCAGACTTTTACATATCCTTACAGCCTAGCCCAAATGCCCCTGCCTCATGAAGTCTTTCCAAGTTTCCAAAATTCTCCAAGTTTTCCTTCCCCTGTACTCCCCACATGCAGTATTGCCTCTCTAATGGCGTCTCTGGGGTCAGACCAACCTGAAGGTCCTTACTCTACTACTCACCCCGAGCAAGTTACTTTATTTCATAGAGCATTAATTTCTTCACCTTAAAATAGGAATTTTAATTCTTCATACATTTGTTATAAAAGCTATATAAAAATATTTTAAATAAATTGACCATTAGAGGGGCTGGCAAAGAGTAGACTCTGTTTAAAAGGTAGCTATACTATTTCAGTTTGCCTTAGATGACGGCCACCTTCCCTGCCAAAATGTAAGTAGTTTGAGATCAGGGACTGTGACCTTATTGCTTCTCTATCTCCAACTTCCTATAGTGCCTGGTCCATGGCAGATCTCAGGTATACTATACTAAGTGAGTAGTGCATGCATGAAGGAAGGAGTGCATGAAGGGTGAGGCTGCAAGTCTCAAGACCCATTCCCACCCACAAAAGACCTTGGGAATGGACATTTTCTTACTTGGCAGCCACAATTCAGGTGATAGTGATGATTCAGACTTTCTCTTTGCAAAAAGGACAGGTTCTCCCAGGGCTCAATGTAGTTGCAAAGATGGATGAAGACTTTTCCATCATTGAGGACCTGACCTTCAAGGGGAGATGGAAGAGAACATAGCATGAAGAATCTGTGAAGCTCCAAAAGCTTGGGACCTTGAAAAGCCCAGAATTACAGCCTCTTTAATGTAGTCTCCCTTCCCTTCCCCTCCCTTCCCTTCCCTTCCCTTCCCTTCCCTTCCCTGCCCTTCCCTTCCCTTCCCGTTTCCAAAATTCTCCAAGTTTTCCTTCCCCTGTACTCCCCACATGCAGTATTGCCTCTTTAATGGCATCTCTGGGGTCAGACCAACCTGAAGGTCCTTACTCTACTACTGACCCCGAGCAAGTTACTTCCCTCCCCTTCCCTTCCTTCTTTTTTTGTGTGGCAATGGTAACATGGAACTCAATGAAGGGGCCAGACAAACCTCTATAATCTGTATATCAAAGATTATGTTTGTACAAAGGAGAGTTGTGGGATAAGGACTTTTCCTTAAGCATGGTGCTAGAGAGAACATGGGTTTAAAGTGAGACTCTTGGTGGAACCCTCTTCTTCTCTATCATTTACCTGCTGTGTGACCTTAAGAAAGTCATGTAACTTGTCAACTGAAAGATGAGAATAATAAGGTTGTTGCCAGGATTAAATGAGAAAATATTTGTAAAACTCTCAGCACAGTAGTGGGCCCATAGAAGATGAGCAATAAATAATAGGTCCCTTCCCCTTTCCAACTCTTCCCAATATCTGCATAGGCCAGTCTTTTGCCCCATTGATACTTATCTTGGTCTTTCCTCTTCTCCATACAAACGCTCCCCTTCTTTACTTTTCAAACTCTTTCCTATCTTCCAAAGACTCTTTTCAATACCACCTCATCCTCAGAGTCATCCCTGACCATGCTAGCCCACATCTCTTAGAACTTTAGTCACTCAATCATTTACTTACTGAGCAACTACTAGACCTTGTACCAGGAATACAGAAATGTGACAGGATCTTTGTCCTCAAGGAGCTTAAAAACAAGTAGGTCAGACAGAAAAGTAGGCAAAAATTACACTGTTGTGTGATTATATACAAAATGCAGTATAAGAACAAAGGTAAGCATAATGATTTCTGTCTGTGGAAGGGATGGGGCAAGGAAGGTGTCTAAGAGGACATGATGCTCTTGTTGGGCCTTGAAAGGATGGGCAGGAGTTTACCTGTCAGACAAGTTGGGGGAAAGACTTCTGGACATTGGGACTGTTCTGTGTAAAGGTGGAGGTGCACAGCCCAGCCAAATACCTTCTGTAATGGCAAGTAGTTTAGTTCAGCTCTGGGGAAACTGAGAGGCTGGAAACTGTCAGTAACAAATGGTAGGAGACAAAGCTGGAGAGGTCAGCAGTGTTTAGATCACAAAGGGCTTTCAACATTAGGGAGAAGAGCTTGTGCCCTCTCTTGAAGAGCATGGGTGCCACTGATGACTTTTCAGTAGACCTGTATTTTGTTATTTATCTTCACCCTTGGTTAGACATGACCTCCTTGAAGGCACAGAGCATGCCTCCTTCTTTTCCTGATGCACCACAGTGCCAAGCAGAGGGCTAGGCACCCACAGGGTAGGTACTTAGGAAGGAGGTAGCTTCATCTGCTGGCCAGGGGATGATGAGGGCTCAGTGGCATGCTTTGCCTCCGCCTCTGCCATACAGAGGCTCCTAGATCAGCAATTTAACATTCTTAGAGCTGGGAGCCCTTGCCAGTATGTCCTCTAATACCTATGAGTTCTCAAGAGCCAACTCTAGACTGTGAGCTCTTTGAGGACTATGACTTGCTATTGAGTCTCCATTCTCCTATCCAAGGCCTGGCAACTAGTATGTGGTCATTCACTGCTGAGTGGATGGACAGATAGTGGAATTCCTCCTTCTGTTCTCCTTATCTGCTATCTTTTTCTTTTCCTTACCTTTTTAAGTATTCATCCTTTAGGTTTAATTTAGATCCCACTTTTACAATGAAGCTTCCCTAACTGTTTGTAGCCATAAGATACCTTCTTCCTGAATTATAGAATAATATAGTATTAAAATTCTTCACTTACGGAGTCATGGTCTTATGTGGTTCTTTGTTATATCTCAACCTGCTCAGCATGGAGGAGACTTACCAAGTTCATGGAGAGAAACCATGTTAGACTTAAAGCTCCTGTTAAGGCTTTGCTTTATTATACCCCAGAATAGGGCCCCGGGGTATGAGTTAGCCATACAGGCTCACTATGAGTCAGGAGTGGCTGTCTAAAGCTAATGCCATCATAGGCTACAGTATTGTAATGTGTGTATTGGGGGAGGTGGGGTTGCACACACACAATTCTCCTTTATTCTGTGAAACTAAGACCTCTCCTGTAGTGTTGTGTCCAATTTATTGTCCTGTGCTAGGGAGGGGACATGGACAGCTATATTCCATTGGAGGTGACCAGAATAGGAGAGGCTGAGAGCCATGACCCGCAGACCTGGAGCTAGAGTGTTCACATCTGTCGTCCTCAGGCCTCTGGGGGATCATTATAGAGCAGAGGGCAGAGCTGAATGCACAAGGGTCAGTTTTAGAGGGCCAGATTTGGGCTTAAAATACCAGAATCCTTATAAAACTATAACTGTTTGAGCCGTGGCTGGTGTGGCTCAATATATTGAGTGCCAGCCTGCAAGCTGAAAGGACATTGGTTCGATTCCCAGTCAGGGCATATGCCTGTATTGCAGGCCAGATCCCGGTTGTGGGTGTGCAAGAGGCAACCAATCAATGTATCTCTTTGCATATGGATGTTTCTCTCCCTTTTTCCCTCCCTTCCCCCCTCTCTAAAAATAAATAAATAAAATATGAATGGAACCAGCTGCCCAAGGCTGGGAGAGCAACCCATCCTTAAAACAGTGAAGCAGTGGCTAAGATCACTGTAATGAGAACTCTTGCATTGAAAGGGAAGTTACCAAGCCCCTCCCAACTCAGAGGTTGCCCCTTAGTAACACAGCTCTGCTTTATGCTCAGAATATGTCATCTGCTCAGAATGAGTCAAGGACAGCCCTGGCTCTTCCTTGGCTGCTGTCCCTAGGACAGAGACTATTGGGGCCACTTGCTGCTCTGTAACTTACCAGTCAAGATGTACTGCTTCTGGCTGTTTGCTTCTAGCTTCACACCACAGAGGGAGGAATCAAAAGGTGTATAGATATACTGAACATCCTTGACTTTCTCAAACCCTTTAAACATCTGAAAAGCAATTACAAAATAGCAGTATTGGGTCAGTGAGTGAAATTTATATCTTAACAGGAAAAACTTCTCATTCTTCAATCTAAAAAAAAAATTAAGCAAATATCTAGTTCAGGATTTGATGTACACAGATGGTTCAACTGGATCATTTCTCTCTTAAAAAATAAAATCTGAACCTTGGTTTATTCCAGTGAGAGGAGAAGTACCTCCAGCAGCCCCACGCCCAGGACTAAAGGGACTCTGAGGGCCTACCCTGCACTGTCACTCAAATCCTGCTCGCAACATGTCATCCACTTCCACCTCAGCATCTACACCCAGGATCAGAGCCAGGTTGCCTGACCTCCCAGCCCCACCCTTCCGAGAACACAGACCCCACTCCTCCCAAAAGCCCAGGGGATAAAAGCCCTGTCCTGTCCCCATGTACCTTTATCTGTTTGATTTCATACCGGATCATTTTTTTAGTGTCAGCAGGGTCTGCACTGGCAGGAATTACCTTCTCACTGGAGATTTTAGCCCGGATCACTGCACAGGAAGTAAAAGAGGGAGCCTTCAGCAACTTGTGGGAGCAGTCCATCTGGGATCTGGATGACCTGGGGCCCCTGGAGAATTTTGTAGGGGAATTCAGGGTTGTGAGGAAGATGATGTAACAAAATGGGGACCTGGAAACTCCTCCTGTGCAGTGTGGCCTGTTAGGTGCTACAATCTCTGCACTTTATCTGCTAGTTTTGAGAGTCTAGTTTTCCAGAGGCACTCAGTTTTCTGAGTGACAGGGGGTGGAGGTGGGCATCAGGATAGAGGAGGGAAGAGGGCAGTCAGTGGGGTCATGTACTAGTATAGCCCAAGGTCTAAAACAGAGCCTGCCTAACATTGATATTAGTAAATGGTTTTGAATTAATAAATGATCTGACCCTGCACAGAGGTAGTTCATCTTTTGCCATTTGGGCATTAATCAGAAACAGTTTATGAAGCTTTTCCTCTGTGCCTGGCCTAACACTAGATACTAGGTCCATAAACATGATTAAGACAGGGTACCCAATCCTGCAGAACTCAGCCTAACAGCACAGCACAGCACAGCAGGAGCACAAAAGATGTAGAAGATGCTGTGTGGCAGCACCAAGGATTCAGGAAGGCTTCAGAGAAAAGGAGATATCTAAGACTTTAAAGAATAAGTAGGAGTTTGCCAGGAATTTAAGGATAGGGGGAAGGATGTTCCAAGCAGAGGGAAGAGAAGAGGCAATAGATGGACGTTTATAGTGAAAACCCAATCTTCTGGCCCCTGGCGTCCCCCTCCCCCATCCAGTAATTTAGAATAATCACAGGGTAGTTCCGGTGATGTGCTCAAAGACACTGGGTAATTGCAATAGGCGAGGGGGAGGGGTCGCTATGGACACTACTTACTGAGCTTGCAAGGTTGCTATGGTGCTGGTCTTGCCCGACCCATCAGCCCCAACTGGAGGCAACTGGGGCGGAATTTGAGCTCCTCCTTTTCCCTCCAGACCACTAGTCTACAGCTCAGCCCCAACCACCCCCTGCTGTGGACCCCTGGGCCTTCCGACTCACCAAGCGCAGAGTGGCAGACGTGCTGCTGGGGGTGCGCGGGGGCGCAGCTGCACGCCTCGCCGAGTCCCGGTGGCCGCAGCAATGCCAGCAGCCGCAGCAACAGCGCCCAGCTCCGCACGGTCTGGGGGCTCCGGGGCATGACACTGCAGAGCCCCGACTAAGCCTTTGGGGTTTACTGGACCAAACAGCCCCTCCAGGGCTCCTTTAGAATGCCTTGCGCCCCTCGCCCTAGGCTTTATGAGGTGGACCTAGGACCAATCCCGCCCCATGGTCTCCGCCCTTCTTTGGCTGTAGGCCACTTGAGGCTGCGGGACTGGCGGCCCTTCTGACTGGCAGCCTCAACAAGATGAAGAGGGAAGCCAGGAGAGGCTCTTAGCTGCTGTTTCCCTGCCCGAGCAATTATAAGCCTTCCAGAAATGGAGGGAAGGCACTGAGAGAGGGGATGGTGTCATGGCAAAAAGCGCAACAAAGACAAACACAAGAAGCAGAAAGACCAAGGGACTGTGATTCAAGCAGAAGGAACAAGAGTGAGGAGAGGCACAAACAGAAAGAGTATGAGACAGGCAGTCATAGAGAAGCAGACAGAATTACAACAGGCAAAAGAGACAGTGACAGAGAAGGACGAACCCCTTGCTGAGCTGCACACTGGGAATAAGACAAGCTACTCAGGGCTCCTTTCAGCTGCAGGAAGTGTTTTCAATGACCTATTTAGGAGGCTCCAGAGCAACAGTAAACAGTAATGGAAAAAGAGAAAGTTGGGGTATGTGTGTGTTTGTGTGTGTCTTGGCTCTGTTGGCTGGAGGGTAGGGGGGAGTAGGGAGAGATGTCAGAAAGCAGCCAGAAAGCAGCTTTGGAAACCCTTTTGCATACCCAGAGCCTCAGACTGCAGATGGCTGAGGACAGTATTTCAGGTGCAGACTCGAAGCACAGTATCCCATTACCTAGCACAAACCTGGGACCTCAAGGCCCTCTTCAGACCCTAGGCTATACCGACTCATATTGCTACTCGCTTGAAAGATTATGTCTTATAACAAATAGGGCAAAAATGTGTTTACAGTTGTGAATACATGAAGCACAATTTACTCTTTTATTTTCCATGTGAACAACTGTAAACCTACTTTTGCCCCACCCTGTATATAACAAGGTAGGGCAACTTAGAAAACAAAGAAGCAGGGCACTGGAACGGTGCCATGAGACTGGGGCCTTGTCCACTCTGCCAGAATATAGTGTTAGACTGGAAAGTAGGAGTCTGGGTTCTGATTCTACACTGGACAGCTTTACGACCTTTACCTGTCCAGGCCTCACCTTTTTCTTCATAAAATAGGGTTGAACTACAATGATTTCCAAGGCCCCTGGAAACTCTTTGAGCCAGCCTCAGCTGGCCTCAGCTGGCCTCAGCCAGGAATACTGAAATCTTCAGGTCAGACATTCCCAGTGTCTGGTCTACAGGATTTCCATGGTAATCTGATTTTCTTTCAGTCAACATTATTTCCTTCAAAAGACATCTTTTCGTTTTAATGTGGCAGTGATGTTTGAAAAGAAGGACAAATGTTTGAAAGAGAGCTGAGCCTCACTGAAGAAGATGAGATTCTGTGTCCAAATTGGTTCTTCATACAACACCCAGGCTAATATAGAGTGTGATGTGTTATTGGATGGGATCTCAAAAAGGATCCGATCCAGTTTCTTCATTCGGCAAATGGACTCTTATTGTAAGCTTAGTAAGGTAAAGTGACTTGCGGAAGGTCAGTGGCAGAAAGAACTAGAATGCAAGTCTCCTGACATCTAGCCTAGTGTCCCTTCCATTGTACCAAATTACTTCTTTCACTCTGTTATTTTGTAACAGCTTACATTCCTGTTTTTGGAAGGTAATTCCTTTAACTTTTTAATTATTCATCTATTAAAATGCAGCTACCTCGAGGCAGAATTTACTCTTTTAAGGATCTCTTTCAAGTGATAAACCTGTTGAATTTTTATGTCAGCTCTCTTCCAAACCCCAAGCTGGACAGAAATAGGCCTTAGCATACTAAGCTGTTTGTTGTTTGAGCTTGAGGTATTAGTGAGCAATGAAGAGACTGACGGGGGGAGAAAAGACAGGTTCAATGTATGAAAGCTGGATGTTTGAGAGAGAGGGGAGGATACTAAGAGGTCCATGACAAAAGGGACATTATGATTCCAAAGATGTATTCCTTTTGTAATTATGGTTTACTAGGGTATAATTTACACACCTTAAAATTCACCCTTTCAAAGATGCAGTTTTTCAAGTTCTTTTTGGCTAAGGTCCAGTCCTGCCCAGGATTTGTTTAATGCAAAGAAGGTTGAAACAATGAATTTTAAAGATGTAGAGACTACCAAGTAGGAGAATGGAGTTCCCTTATAGATCTGCCACTAGCGTTCTCTGACCTTAGGCAAGTCGCTGTCACTCTACAGGCCTCAGAGTTTTAATTTATAAAGTGCATAGATCGGACTAGTTCGTTAAAGGGCCCTTCTGAGGGTGTTCCTAAGAAAAATATTTATAATATTCCAGAGAGACAGGCATACTCTGACCAATTCTTTTGTTTCTTTTCTACTTTCAGCTGACCCTGCCCACGTTCCCTGTGGTGGTGAAGATCGGCCATGCTCACTCAGGCATGGGCAAGGTAAGGCTGGGGCCTGATGTGCTTTGGGATTGAGGCCAAGAAGGGCAATTTTCAGAGAGTCTGGTTATGAACTATTCTTCCCCTCCCTGTTATTGAGCAATTCTTTCCGAGGAGAAAGGGATTTGGCCTCTGAAGCCATGAGTGTTACACAAACAGGCCTTTTTCAACAAGCAGAGTGCAGGCCACCTGCTTGGTTCTTTGGGCCTTTTACAGTAAGTGTGGCTCCACAGCCTAGGGAGGGAAGCTAGAGAGAAGGAGTTTCCTAGGGAGATGTGGTCCCTGCGCTCACATCTGGATGGGAAACATCTGAATGAGTTTGGAGTCCCCGGGTTTTTGTGACTCTCAGTGTGTGTATATGTATGTCTCATTTTCTCCCTCTCTGCCTTACTCCAACATTAGGTCAAAGTGGAAAACCACTATGATTTCCAGGACATTGCTAGTGTGGTGGCCCTCACCCAGACCTATGCAACAGCAGAGCCGTTCATTGACGCCAAGTATGACATCCGGGTCCAGAAGATAGGCAACAACTACAAGGCTTACATGTGAGTGGGGATGGGTTCCCAGCAGATACTCTTCACTTTTTCCCCAACCCGGTAGAGAATCCTTGAGCCTCCAGGTAGCAATCAGCTCTTGGTTTAATCTCATCTGGCCCACAGGTAGAGAACAGAACAAGGGTAACCTTCAAATCAGGGAGTCTTAGCCTGGGATCCTTTCAAGTCCATGAACTAAGATGAGAAATAAAATTAATATTTATTTGTATTAGCCTTTAAGTGAAATATGGTGTTTTCCTCAGTTCTGACCAAAGGTAATAGATGGTAGTAGTAGCAGCAGCATGAATTTACTTTGTCACTAAAGATAATCACAGAAATTTGTGTATTTTTATACAGTTGTGACAGATGTCCCTCAATACCACATACTGTTACCACTACTAAAGGATCATGGTAATTATTAGACCTGCCACTACATTTATCCCTGTGAACACATTTGCTATTTATAAAGAAACATTTTTTACTAGTCATACATTTGTTTGTTTAATATTTTGTTAACTTTATTTGATAATTATTTTAAATAACTGAGTTCCTTGTTATCTTGTGTTCTTTACTATACACATTTACACATCTTATATATTTTATACATTGGAAGGAGAGGAATCCATATGCTTTACTGGACTGCCACTGCACAGAAAAAGCTAAAACACTCCTGATGAAAATATATAGCTTTAAAAATACTATAGAGCATTAAACGCCTAGTGGTTATAAGAATAGATGACTTTTCCATATAACTGTGTCCATTTGCCAGAATGGAAAGTTAAAGGTTTCCTCTGTTAGAATGTAGATAAAAATTAAAAAAAATTAAAATTAAAAAATGAATTAAGAATTAAGAAAAAGAAAAGATTTCAAGACTTCCTAATCTTCTGTAATAAACATAAGAATGCAATGGTTATAATTCCAGTTTTGGAAATACTAACCTCCCATTTTTAGAAAAAAATTAGGTTGTGCATCTGTGTTAACAAAGACTGAACATTATAATACATGAATTTGACCTTTGCCACTCAGGACTTCAGCAGACTTCAAGGTTGGGCAGCTTTCCTTTTCCTTACCCATCCTTTCCATGTTTCTTCCTTCGTTCCTTTTTAATCTTTCTACTCCCCACCCCTGGAGTTAGTAAGGAGCTCTTTCCCTGTACTCCCTTCTCATACCTGTAGTTTAGCCCTTTTCACACATATGATGCATTTCCCTCTCCTCTGAGGTGACATGATAGCATCATCTCTGCAGGCCCACTGCCTTGTGCAGCAATAGTGTAGTAAGCACCCAGTAAGTACTCAGGGAACAATTCTTACAGAGAATTGAGGCATAGGATTTTTTTACCTTCACTTTTAGATTCCTACTTTTTAAAAGTTTATAATTTTTTATTTATAGTCTTTCTGCTTCAGAAAGGAATTTAGGGTTGCTTTAAAATTATGCACAATGTAAGACAAGATAGTTTAAAAGACCATTATAAAAATTATCTAAAATAAGCAGAAAAATACATAAATATGTTCAGGCACCTAGGAAAGCAGATTTCCTATCCTTGGAATATTAAAATACCCTAAATAAACACAAGGTTTATGACAATGAAGCAAGAGTGTTTAGATCCTTAAAAGGGGGACATGCCACATTTTTAAGGGTCAGGGTTTCCAAAAGCGAGCAAACTAAAGCACAAGAGAATCCCCAACTGTAAAGTGAGGGGAAGAATACCAGCCTACTCACAAAAGGGGGCTTGCAATGAGGCTCTGGTGAGGGGCTTGGGAAGAAAGAACCTTGGAAAGCAGTTAGTAACCTTGGAAAGCAGTCAGTAATGTATTACTGCATCAGTCGACTCACTGCACCTCAGGGCTCTGAAAAACTAGCTGTGCTAGGTTTCCCAGCGTCCGAAATCAGATATCTACGGAGGGTGCTCCTGGAAACTGCTGAGAGGAAACTAACACATCAATTTCCAGTCAGTAGTGAGTGATAAGGATTCTGTCACTGGTGTAAGCAGGGCTTTTCTGTCCCTTAGGACATCTCCATTTTCTTGGCTGTGTCTCAGTGAAGATTAATAATTAAAAGACATACTTTTGCTATTTTACAGTTTATTGAAAATTTTAAGCAACCCGTGTTTACAAAGGGATAAGGGAGGCTCAGCCAGGTGAAGGTCACTCAGCCAGTCAAGAGCAAATACAAAACCAGAAACCAGGTTATCTGCCTCCTGTTTAGCCCAAGACTAGTTGACTCTAACACATGTTCATGGATGGAGGGTGCAGAGGTTATAGCAGAGAACAGGTCGGCGACTTGATTCCATCAGCTCCATTGGATGGGTGAAGCAACTTAAACCTGAAGAGGTTAACTGTCTTGTCCAGGGTCACGTTGCTAATACTATAGGCCCTCAGAAACCAACTGCTGAATAAATGAGTAAGTGAGCTGGAATAGAAGCCGTTGGGATAT